ATCTAGCCCATCTGTCTTTGTGTACTTTGTCCTCAGGTGTTTGAGTCTGTGGATGAGGTGGAGCAGGTGGAGGTCGAAGGCAGGTTGGAAGAGAAACAGCCCAAGATCCCCAATGGAAACCTGGTGAATGGCACTTGTTCCCCAGACTCTGGTCATCCTTCCTCCCACAACTTCTCCTCGGGCCTCTCAGAGCACTCGGAGCCCAGTCTGAGCACAGAAGACAGTGTGTTGGATGCTCAACGGAATGCCCCCTTGGTGCTTCGACCTGCGGACAGCAGCATGGAGGACAGGCAGAGCAGCGAGGCCACCACATCCCGGGATGAGGCCCCCCGTGAGGAGCTGGCTGTGCAGGACAGCCTGGAGAGCGACCTCCTCACCAACGAGAGCATGGATGAGTTCATGTCCATCACTGGCAGCATGGACGTGCCTCTGCCTGAAAAGGATGGCACCACCATGGAGGGCTGGCGGGGCAGTGAGGTGGAGAAGCAGAGCCAGGTGGACAGTGAGGACAACCTCTCAGAGGAGCCTGAGATGGAAAGCCTCTTCCCTGCCCTGGCTTCTCTGGCCGTGACCACTTCTGCCAACAATGAGGCATCTCCTGTGTCTTCCAGTGGCGTTACTTACTCTGTAAGTCACCAGGACTCTCCTCTACCCAATATTCTTACCTCCAGCTGCAGGAGGGTGGGGATGTACTGCAAACCTCAGTTATCCAGAATGACCTGGGCATGAGACCTCTGGTTTGTTGCCTTTTTCCCGTCATGGAGGATTCACTGTAGCAACTTATGTGGAAGAGAATATAATATTTAAAGAACACAAGCTTTGCAATAAACCCTCCTGCATTTACATCCCAGTTTCGGCAAGTCATGTTATCCTTCTGAGCCTCAGTTTCTCTATCTATTTAGTACTTTCCTTCCTAAGTTGCTTCCAGAATTAACAAGTTAAAATCCTATGTGCCTGGCACATAGTAAGCCTTGATCAACAGCAGCCTTGATGATGAGCATCATTATTTTTAGTCAGGTCCAATATATTTTAAATATTCAAGTTTGCTTTCTTGCCAGACAGTCCATGCCCAAGAACATCAACTGAAAGGGGGATTTTCTGGGCCAGGCATTGCATATCTATTTTCTCTTTAAGAACTTGTTATTTCTATCAAAGATACATAATCCTATAGTTTAAATAGTCAAACACTTACACAAGGCTGGGTTCAAAAATCAGAAGATGTTTGCCCCATCTCTCCCCATCTAGCCCTCCCCACAGGCAATCTTATTTGCTTATTCTGCCCAAATTACTTAGTGTTTACCCCCATATATTGCTGCTTCTTGATCTTTTTTTTTNCCCCATCTCTCCCCATCTAGCCCTCCCCACAGGCAATCTTATTTGCTTATTCTGCCCAAATTACTTAGTGTTTACCCCCATATATTGCTGCTTCTTGATCTTTTTTTTTTTCCAGTTTAGCATTATCTGTTGACTCCCCACTATGGAAGAGGAGGACTTAGTTTCTATTTCTCTCCCACCCCAGATCTTCACCCCACAAGTGACACCTTCCCATCCCCATCCCTACAACATAATTGTATAGTAATTTTAATTAAATGATTATTCAATGTTCACATTATTATAATGGTATAATGCATGAGCCATGTAGTAAGCTGTGTTTACTTTTTCTTTCTTGCATAAATGTTTGCTCTTCCTAGATGTGTTTTCACTTTCTTAGTTTGCTACATATTTATCATCAGTTCAGCCCTCCAATTCTTTGCCTGTTTTCTAAATCTCTTCTTAAACATTCAGGCTCATCAGGTTTTCTATACGTTTTGTATGTCTAAAGAACTCTCCCCACGGGCCTTCTGGCCCCCTCCAGTCTGCTGTTCCTGATACATAGTTGCTGTCCTCTGTCTTCCTCCATGTTCATCTTAAGGCTCCTGTCCCTTCTCTCCTATTTCCTGTGGCTCATTTCCTCTTTCTTAGTTTACTCCCTTGTATAGCTGAAGCACATACCTCAGTGCCTTCCACACTTTTTGCTTTTCTTCTTACAGTCCAGCTCTGTAATCTAAGATAACTATCTTTTTATATGAAGTTCACTCTTTAAAATTCCCTTTAGCAGATTATCTCTCCATTTGTGTTTATCCAAAATGGTATTCATTTTGCTCCCATTCTTGAAAGATATTCTTACTGAATACACAACTCTAGATTGCACTTATTTTCTCTAGGTACTTTGAAGATATGGTTCCACTATCTTCCAAATTCCATTGTCACTGTTGAGAAGTCAGGTGTATATCTAATTGCTGTTCCTTTAAAAAATAATCTTTTTTTCTCTTTGGCTACTTTTAACAGTCTCTTTGTGGTGTTGTGTACTGTTATGAGAATAGGTGTAGACTTTTTTTTTTTTTTTTTTTTTTTTTTTCCCCGC